AAAAAAAAAAAAGAAAGAAAAAAAACCTCCACAACCCAAAACCAACCCACAACCAAACCAACCACACGCTTTTATTTCTCGGCTCCCCGTGTTCTTCACCCGGGTGGGAATCCACGCTCCGCGCCGGGATCCCGCTCCCGCTCCATTCCTGCTCTCTCCCCGCGTACCCGGCAAACCATGTATTGCCTATGAAGGAGCAAAATACCTCCCCCTGCGCTCCCCGGTAAGGCACTGTTTGTTGCTTGTTTTCAGGGAGCCCCGAAAAAAACTCGCTCGGCGGGGGCGGCGGAAGGCGGGAGCGTTCCAGCCCAACTCCGCGCAGCTGGAGGAGGTAAGAGCCGGAAAGCGGCCGCGGGTTTTGCGCCGATCGCAGCTGTAAGCGGCCATTTGCCCCGTACCTGCATGCAGAACAAGCTTGCTGGAATGAGAGTTTGGTGGTGGTGTTGCTGTTGTGATAAATATTTAACCTAGCTGGATTTTTTTTTTTGTCCCCCTGGCTTGGCTCTATTCATCTTCCGTGGGTAGTGAAGGCGCGTGTCTGGGCAGACAAAGAATGTACGGGACCTGAGTGATCGCCATCCTTATAAAGGCAAGGGGGACAGGAAGGATGCAAAGACATTTGAAGAGCGAAAGAGGTTGAGAATTTCTTTGTCCATTCTTAGCTCCTTCCCAAATCAAAGGCGTGAGGCGAGGGAGAGCGGGCTGGAGCCATGTCGGTGTTGAATGGCTTATCGCGGCTTGTCTGTTTGCCTCCTCCTCGAGGAGTTCCGCAGCCGGTCCTGTAAACGTGGAGTGCATGTGGGGATGTTAGAAAACGTGATTTTTGTCCGAGTGCATGAACCAGAACGGATCGCGAATAAGTTTCGGGTATTTGTCCGTCCTGGCCTGCTTTGCACTGGGCGGAGATCGGTGTTTGGTGGTTCGGAGTTTCTGAGTCCTTGATGCGCTTGGTCCCTTGGCAGGAGAAATGTAGTGCTTCTCATAGTGACCATTTTCTTACGCCGGCCGCCAAGAGGGAAGGATTACAGAGAATTAGCTCAAATTCCTGCTAGATTTACCTACTTATTTTTGGACGCTGCTGTACAATTAGTATATTTTACTACCTTTTAAAAGCGGCCATAAATTACAGGACTACAAGGGCTCTTTGTGTTGGCTTAATGGGCTGCTTAAATCTTAACTACAAAAAGTCGCTGCGAATGTCTATTCACTCTTGTGTTAGGAAATGATAAGCGAAAATGCGGTACGAAGGAACCTTCCTCGAGTGGCATGTACCCACAGCACTGCGTGCAGAGATATTTGGGACTGCTGAACTGACCCAACATTGGCAGACTCAGCTGAGTCTGAGGCAGAACTTCTCCCACAAGGGCACAGTCGATAACTACATTCTTTTTATCTGCTTGGAAATGATCAAAGACCAACTTTATCTCTATCACACGCACAGATGTAGGTAAACAGCTCTGCGCCCCAGCAGATTTCAAATCTTTCGAGGAAGCGAGGAAATAAATACTTAGATCGTACGGTGATTCCCATTTCGTCTCCACATGGGAGTGATAGGCTTACCTCTTAACAACTGGTATAAAAGCAAACTTGAAAGACAGTAAAAATTCTAAATCTAATTATACTGAAGGTAACTTGAAATACCGTAAGTGCTAAGAGTGGCTATCAATGCCAGAGCTGGCACAAAGGGTCTCTCTTAATGAAGGCACGTTATGAACTCAGATCTGTTTGTTGTTACTGAGCCTGGAATTTCAACTCAGCTCGAAGCCATGTGTATCAAGAGCAGAAAAATCAGTAGCAGACCTACTGATAAATTCCACATTTTTCTGCTAGAAACCGCGTTTCAGGTCTCCAAATCATCGAGGTAATAAAACACAATGTTGAATGTCCAGGAACAGGAACAAAGCAATATATGGGGTGGCAGAGGAAATATAGCGTCTGCGACTCGCGAGATCATTTGAATATGTGTTTGAAAACTCGGAATCACGATACTAGAGCAAAGAAAGCTTTCTCCAAATTCGGCAGAAGGCAATAATTTTCAGCTGCGATCCAGGACAGTATAAAGTTAGGCAGACTCCCCCTTCCGCCCTCCCAAAGCACACCCTGTGGAAGGTATTCACACGTCAAGAAGTTACTTTTCTTAAGAATTAATTAGTTTCCCCACTACATACACGAAGTTAATTGTTAAACAGTAGTTTTAGGATTAACTTGACCATTAATACTAATAAAGACGTTCATAGAAACAGGGTTTTGAAGCCAATAGCCATACCTAGCGTTAAGGCATTTAAGCTGACTTATGATTGTGATTTATTGCTTTTGTAGTTTCTATTTGCTCAGGACTGTAACTTCTAAAGCCATCTTTCTGCTTTTGACGCAAAGCAGTCGATAACTTTTTACAGCAGCCCCGAGAAAGACTTGCTCTGCTTTTTTCAACATCTGCTCCGTTCCCCATTAATTTCAGTTTCATTGTTGCAGAATAACTTCTCTGTGTCTTTCTTTTACGGGATCTAAACTCACCGTATTTAAAAGAGCCGTGAATCCTTCTCGAGTAAATATCAGCCTTGGTTTACGTTAAACACCAGAGGTGAGGAGTTAACCAGTTCTGCAGAGAGTTAGACTTGGGCACGTCGTGCGTGGCTAACACTCTCTTTTTCGAAGGTATATAGTTTTTATTCCAGCTCGTAGTGAGGGATAATATACGTATACCTTGCTACTAGCTTAGTCACTTCTACATGAAAAATTGCACAAATTCTTCCTCTGTTGTAAATGTTGTGCTGACTTCGCTGCAATGTCCACTGCTAAACACTGTTACTGGTGGGTTTAAGTTCCAGTGGCCCACTTCTGCCATCCAAGCGAGAGTGTATAAGGCTTGCCCATAACACTGGAGATCACCTTTAAAAAGAAATCCCTTTTTATTTTGTTCAGTGAAGTGCAGGTGAAACAGTAAGAGGAGATATGCAGTTAGCTGAAAGTTTTCTTTGAGCTCATGGGGGATGGTGGAAAGATTCAGGCAAGGGTGTATACACATCATGATGCAAAATGCTGGAGTCACGCAACTGGACCAGGAACACGTTAAAGGCGTGAACTAGCCGCTTTTCTTTGACTCCCTCCAGAAAAGTTATGTGAGTTGGGGGGTTCTTTTGTTTCTTTAGCTTATTGTGTCAATAGCACAAGTTAAACAATCTTACAGGGAAGATGTGGTGTTTCGCACACAGGCGAAGATGCCTGGCTCGGGGGCCGCATACAACTTTGCTCTTTTTTTTTTTTTTTTTTTTTTTTTT